ATCTAAGATTTTTGTTATTATAGTCATTATTATTTAAATATCGAAAGTTAAAATACATTTTTAAAAGCAATAATGAAGGTAAAAGCATTTTTCCATTTATGTATCTATCAGATCCTAAAATTGATGTTCATTTTCAATGACTTATATTATTCTGAATATTAACACATGAAAATCTAACACTTTGTTTTTAATTATAATCTAATTTTAAAACACATTTCCAGTGGATCAGTGCTAGATTTTCCCAAGTAATGTCACGGCAGAGATAATCACAAAATACGACAGTATCATTTGGTTTCCTGTTATTTTTAAAGTTGCAATTTAAAAAATAAGACCCTCTAGAGAAAGTTTAAAGTTACTGATACCTCTGCATTTGGTGTGGAATAAAGCAATGTGGTCTGCCAACAATAAACGATGGTGTAAATTATGAAGCAGGTCATTGGATTACATTATAATTCTGAAAACCAAAATAATGTCTTTTCCCTCAAGCCATATTTATGACTATCTTGTCCTTAGCTTTTGTACACATTTTTAAGTTTCTTCAGAGCACTACTTTAATGAAAGATTTATCAAATCTTTTCATTGAATATGATCACATTTGACAACTAAATCCCCAAGACAGGTTTTTTTAAAGTGGGAAAATGACTAAACCTAATATTTCTGATGTATCAGAAAGACGTTGTTTTATAAATTTAATCCTATAGCAAACTGGAGTATAACTCCTATTATTTTGTTCTTTATCAATTTGTCTGCTCTTTTTAAAGAAACAACAGTATTTAAGTAGAGACTACAGAGGAAAAAAGTAACTCACTGCATTAGTTCTTGTCCTACATTGTGGACTGGAATGACCTGAAAAGAATAAAGATTACTAATTCTGCCCCTAGACAGTCTAATGCAATTAGACTAAAGTAGGACCCTGAGCAGGAGTTCTTTGTTTTGTTTTGTTTTAAAATAACTCTCAAGATGATCTTAATATAAAGTCAAAGTTGAGAACCCCTGGAGTTCTGAATCATTTAATTCATTTTGTTCACTGTTTCCAAGGTGATTCATCAACTCGTAAGACAGCTAACAGGTAATGTCCCAAGAGTCAGGGCATGGGAAAGCTATGACTTTCACAGATACATGAAAAATGTGTGTATTTTTATCATTCTAAAATTATTCTCCTGTTTAACACCAACAATTACCTCTTTGCCAACTTTATTTCATGCTCATTGATTTAAAGCTTTTTTTTTTTTTTTTTTTTTGCTTTTCTTGGCCCACTACATTGCTATTTCAATCTTCTTAGCTTTTCTGGTTTTGGGGGGTACTCCCTTAATGTTCTTTCCTTTCATTATCATGGACTAATTTAAAGACATTAACCTATAACAATACATATTCTGAGTTTCTCTTTTTACTTCAAAAACTACTTATTTTGGTAATTTTTTAATATATGTCTTTGTCATCTTTTCTAGGCATTGTTTTTGGTCCTCCAATGGCCTAATGGTTCATCTTCCAAAGTTCTAAAGGGCATCTTATATGTGTGCTTAAATTCAACCTAATCACTTTGACACTTTTGTGACACCTTTATCATCTACTTCCAATTCAATTTGAATATGAGGGAAGATCTAAACTTCCAAAAATGTAATTTTTATAACTCCTCAAATGTCCAATGACTAGATTTTTGAAGTCAATTGTATTTCTCACCAGTCACCAAGATGGATCCATTACACAAATCCAAGCGCCTGTAATTTTGTAACTTTATAATTTTGCTAATCAAGTATGTTCCTTACATGCAATTGTGTTTTTCTCCATGTCTCCACGTTTTCACTTTTTTATCTTTAGCTATCTAAACCCTAACATTTTAAGATTCAATTCATGTCCTACTTCTTCCAAAGGATAATCACCTATTTTTACCACACTACTCTATTTTCTCTTTTTATATAACTTGGTGTATTTTATGTGGACAATTTTATGGGGTTTTTGTTTTGTTTGGTTTGGTTTGGGTTTTTTTGGTACCGGGGATTGAACTCAGGTCCTTGTGCTTGTGAGGCAGGAGCTGGAACCACTGAGCTAAAGCCCCAGCCTGACAATTTTATGTTTAATTTTAAAATTATTTTGTGATATTATAAATTAGTAGTTTCACATTTCTTAGGTAACCTCTGAAGTATTTATAATTTATAATTATTCTAATATAGCCACCAACCCTACAGAAAGGTTTGAAACTTTTGAATAAATAAGTTCTAGTGGTTTGACAATACCACATGATGTACTGTTTTCATTGAATAGAACATTTATTATAAGAAGATATTACTTTTCTAACAATTGAAAGAATTATGATAATATTATTGAATGTGTTATTAGAATATGGTTTCTTTAAAGTGGGTTGGAAATGAGGAAAGAGGTGACATGACCTAGGCTTAATTACTTCATTAAAGTACAATATAAATTATGGATGGAGAATAGCACGAAAGGGATTTGAAAATAAAATATCAGAAAATAGAAATCAGAAAATCCATCTTTTCCTTTTGCCACCATTGTCTGAAAAAGTAGAACTTTGTTAAATATTTTTATTTTTAAATTAAATTATTTCATTAAATTAAAAATTTTAATATTTAAAGATAATTGACACATTCTACTGCATGTCAGGAAGTATTCTACATTCTGTATGTGTAGTGCTTGACTTGATTCCTACAACATTGAGAGCAACTACTATTCCTGCTATGTCCCTCCTACAGGTGAGCAAACTGAAGCCTAGAGAGGTTAAGAAATGTCTCCAATTCATACTGATAGTCTGTGTTGAAATCCAGGCCAACTTTTGAGCCCTACAGCCTGAACAGACAGCTTCACAAAGAAACAACTATGCTATTATACACAACTCAAAACATTCTTTCAAATATATCACTTTAAAATATACAGCATACTTAGAATTTTCACTATTTTTATCTAATGCATCCCAATTCTTGTGAGTTTAAATGCCAAATTATTTCTATCTCTTTAGAAGTGCTCATTGAAATCACAATTTTTGGACATTTTCAACTGGGGAAAGACTTCTCAATTTAAACTGTACAGATAAATAGAAGGCTTCTGTATGTTATATGTATCACTACTTAATTAGTTATAAAGGTTCAAAATAGCAAAATAAATTATGAACAAACTGTATAATCTCTTATTTTCTCTATTAATGTCTTTTTCCATGGCAAGGTGATAGATAATAAGGTATTTGAATGAAGTTAGTACTCATTCAACCAGCTGCTTTCACTATATAATGCCCCTGAAACAGTGGGATAGATTTATCATTTACTTCTTTTAATCCGAATACTAACTTGCAGCATGGTGAGAATATGAAAACCCTTTAAAATCAAAGTATATGAAGAAAAGGCTGCAGCTTAGAGAAAGCATTCCTATGGAAAGGCTTTCTTTCTTTGGTCTCTAAGGATATTTTTATTATTATTGAAGAAATATCAATTCTTTCTTCCACACACAACAATAGAAAACAAAAGAAAGTGGACAAAAGTTATAGGATTTAAAAAACTGAGCTACTTTTCTTTCATTCTAAAGTATCTTTATTATACATATTTATTTCAGGAATCTTGATTTTCTTTATTATTTTATCTTCTAACTTAAGATACACTAAAAACTATGAAATGTCAAAATATAATATTGTTATTATAACCAAGATTTATTAAGGTTTCTGATTCTGTATAGCATATAATCTACTCTAAGGATAAAAATAAGTATATTCTGACTAAAATCCACCCTCTGTCTCTTTCAGGTGATTAACCTCCACTTGCCTCATATTTTTAAAATTATACTTAAAGTTTTTAATTTTTATTTTAAAAATACAGTACTTCTGAATCTTGTTCTAAACTCAAACATCATGAATAACAAACTTACAAAGAACTGTCTTTTAACTCATTTAGCTACTAAATAAAATTGGATCCTTGTGACTGAGTCTGTATTTTATTCACTCATTTATTTTTCTTATTCTATCATGGTACTTCGAGGGAAGGACTGTGGAATGAATGGATTCATATGAATTAATGGAAGTATAGACTTGAAGTAGGAAAGAAAAACACAATCATTTATAAGAAACTCACAGTTTATTAATTCCATTTTAATATTCAACAAGGGGTTATTAGATACATTGGGAGGATTCCTACTCATTAAGTACAACATTTTAAAAATATAAAATGTACTTTAAAATATATTTTATTTTATATTTTTATGATTTAGAAAAATAATTTTTCCTTTCTAGACATTAAATTTTTAAGGGTAGGGTTGACAAACCTATGATTTTTAACACTAAAGAATAAATGAAGAATTTAAAGTTTAGGCATTAAAATTGAAAAACTTATCTGAATAATCCATTTAAACAACGAAACTCTACCCGTAAACATTGCTGAAACTTCTTGAACCTCTTGTTTATTCATTTCTTAATCTATAAGGATGTCCTGTAGACAGAGAGAGACTTTGGCAAGTGTGTATTTTATATCCTCCATGATTATTCTCATTTCTACCCAGGCCAGTATCAGAATTGATTATTTTTAATGTATAGAACCCTTTTTAATTTGAAAGATGAATATCAGATAAACCTTTTCTTTCCTTTAATTATTTTGTCTTGTGTTAAAAATGGCATCCACAGATAAAGACCCTATGTTAATTTGAGATTAGATGTATAGTGATGATAAAAATTGAAATGATACAACCCTTTCTTATGAACAACTATGAGAATTGAATCTAGTCATTCAATACTTGAGAAATGAATTACATTAAAATAAATTTTTAAATTATGTTGTTTGCTGTTTTGCAATCATGAGCAATTTGCCATAAATACTTTGTTTTCATTAATGTAGCAATAATTTATTTACAAAATAAAACCCAAAAAGCAAAATAATTTTAATTTTTACACAAAATACAAAGAATTACCCAAAACCTGCCTTAAACTTATGAAGTATACAATTCATACTTTTTACACCATATTAACATTTTGCCTGAAAACCCTATAGCAAATATTCTTTTTCTCCCCATGATGTAATAGTTTTATGTTTAAATTTCATTTTTATTCACCTTTACAGCTCATGAAAATAATGAAATATAAATTTCCACTTAGGCAATATACTAGCAAGTATAAAAAGTTATGTTCAACAAATAATGCCTAGATAAATCTTAAATATGTCAGTATAAATAAGGCTGAATTTTTGAGAACATCTGAAAGTTTGAAACATGGGGCATACCAAATGACATTTGAATAGACAAAATCAAAAATGAATAAACTCTTCTTATATCTTGTGATTCTAGTTAAAATACCAAAATAAATATATCAGCCAGAAAAATGTTAGAAAAAGTGTCATAAACTTAATATTTAATTCTGCAAACTTTTGAGTTTTACTTCATGTTTATATGATGAAATTTGAAAATTGGAATCTTCTCACCTGACAATATTTTTCTATTCATATATTCTGCTACAAAGCATACTTATTTCTTTCCAATATGTATCAAAAGATTTGGCTAAATCATACTTCAGCATTGATAATTTTCTTAATAAACTGAGTATCAATCCTAAAAATGTGTATTTCACCCTCTCAAAATATGAAAAAACTTATTATACAGTTAAATACTTTGAAATTAACTATCAAGTGCTTTCCAAACAGGTAACTCCATTTGATTGATAATTTCATATTATCTGGTGGTTTCAGTTTACTATTCTTATGTCTAACTAAAACACGTAAAAACCACATTTTAAAGTGGTAACCATAAAATTCTTAATAACTTAGAGGATCAAATTTGATTTTTTTAATTATCAAAACAGACTAATTTGAGTATATGGATACTCAAATCACTGTTTTAGTATACAAGTCAATAAATATGCAGATAAAAGTTTTTTTAACTATAATTGCTGATTTTTTATTAGAGAAATAGTTATAAACATTGCATAAAGTAGTTGAGAATTTAAGAAGAATAAAGTTAAAAATTATCTTATGGATGAATAAATAAGAGTTGCATGCATATTTTATAGTAACTTCTCTCACTACCACATGTTATTTTAGAAATTAAGTCTTGTACCATAAAAGGCTTGTTTCAAAGTTTCTGAGATACATATGCACAAAGAATGAGGCAGGAAATTTCTACCAATTACTATTAATTTGTCTGAGAAACATGCATAGCTTTTTGAAAAATATTTATTCATGCTTACAGATAAATGTTTTAATTCAGTGAGTCTTTCAATCTGAGATTATTAAATAGAATTCAGGTTTTCTAAGAAGACCTGAACTTATGAGTAAAAATATGCATTCAAAAGCATAAATAAAATAATTAATCTATTAAATATTTAGCAAAATACTTAGTGCTTGAATAAATTAATTTAAAATAAAAATGATTTTTCTTGAAATTGCTATATTATAAAGAAAATATTCCTTAGAAAAACTTTTCTGTGAAAATTTTGATATGGTAAAATAAGGATTCCTATGGGAAACCACCAATTTCAGAACATTGTTTTCTCGCACATCCTAAAATTACAAAACTTGTCATCAGCATATGAGATGAAAGAATCTCTTTACATACGAAAATATGGAATAAATTTTAGCAAAACTAATCTGTAGTTGGGAAATTACGTATGAATCCATTAACTCAATGCACATTTAAATAAATGTACAATAAAGTACTGAATAATCATCATGCAGGTTATATTGATATTAATGCAGTTAATTTGGTAAATACACAGACGTTTTGATAAAACACGCACAACACAGACACCACAAAGTTTACTCTTGCACTAGAGAAAGTAACAAAAAAGGGGTACACTCACAGATAGAAAACTTGTTGCTGTTGTCTTTCCCTGGAAACAATTTAAATCCTCTAGATTTAAAATCTATGGCCTTTTTCACTAGTTAAGAAAACAAACAAAAACATGTATCAGGAAATACAATTTGAAATGAAATTCAAGTAAACAAATTTTGTTAGCATGGAATTATGCAAGTTAAAGAAACTGCTTTCTTAAACCTGATACAGGGTATTCAGAGGAAAATAAAAAATAAATAAAAAACAATATAATCATCTAGTAGTAAAATACTAATCAGTATACAAAAAGTCTATACATTATTCAGGGAGAAACCTGCATATAAAGATTAGTACTTTTAAACTCTTCAAGTTTTCATATAAAGTCAAAACCTTAATACTTTATAATAAACCACATGAATTGATCAAATTTTGTGGAATAAATTGCACTAGAAAAACAAATGATACTGTGGCTTTGGAATAATGGGGAAAATTTCATGATCTTGGGTTTTTAAATTAAATTACTTAAAATTTAGTCTACTTGAAATCTTCAGAAACATTTAGGAAAATAACACAATTGGAGAATTTATAAGAATATTTTAATATTTCTACAAATAAAATAAGTTTCATTATCATTGTTTTAGACAATATGATGCCTGTCCACAGTGTGTCCACAAAATATATAAAAGTGGATTACAATGCTTTGTAGTCTTGCTACTACTTGAGTACTAGCAATACTCTGATCTTATGATACTGAATGTCAATATAACATATGAGATATTACATTATAGATTATATTAGAATAAATGTAAATAGTCTAAGAAAAGTTGGACATAATGGAGTAGCCTAAGAAATGATTTTACAAACATGAAATATGTTCATATTTTTAAAGTATTTGGAAGAAGAAAAATTTTATTTCCTTTTAGTGTATATTTAATTAACTACTACTGCTATAGATTTTGAAAGGAAAAAAATAGTTCAGAAGGCTACCTTACTTATTTAATTGATACCAAGTGAAAAAAAATTATCTATTTAATTAAAACCTCATGAATCGAAAGAGTTATAGCAACTTATCTAATATTTAAATAGCAATTATTTTATTTTTTAAAAGTATGAACAATAATGCAAGTGGTAGTATATTCAAATTAAACAATTATAACTTAGAATACTTTACATATTGTTTTTTATTGGGTTTGTAGTGTAGGGTAATGGCCTTAAATGCAGTAAGATTTTACTCTTGCAATATATCTGAAGATAACGAAGTTGATTTTTTTGAGGGGGGGGAGGTATCCGGGATCAAACTCTGGTCCTTGCAGCGGAATCACTGAGCTAAATCCCTGGCCCAACAAAGGTGATTTTTTTTATTTAATACTAGATGTTTAAAATAATCCATTAATTCTACCCAATTAGTTCAAATTATGGGTACTTTACTGTTTTAGAAACATTTTAGGGTGATTTTTTTTCCATTAATAATACTTTCAAAAGTAGGAAGATAGATACAGGGTTTGATGATTACTGGAATGTACAGGTAAGAACTATTTATGAATACTATATAAATTAATGGAAGAAAATGATCATTAGAACAGGATCAAGAGACTTGATTCTTGGCATTTATTAGCTATGTGATTTTGGACAAGTATTTGTCTTTTTATTTCAATTTCTTCTCTTTAAATAAGAAGCTAGGGCAAGATGACTGCCCATTCTCTTCCTAGCTTCCGAGATTATTTATCTGTGACTCTTACTGACAGCGAGGGCATTACTACAAGTGGCTCAAGCAATGCTTTTTGTTGGATTCTTCACCCACACTGCAATGTTACCTAAAGTTTAATTCTAGGGAAGTATTCAACTACTCTAAATTTAGTTCACCACTTGTGAAATTCCCCACTGCCTCAAAATACTTTCAACAAAATTTGCATTTTGTATTTTGTGGCATAGTACTAGATTTTTCCATTCTAAACATGAATCCTAAGTAGGACTCTACCTCCATTTTTTTAACTACATTATACAGCTTCACCTTTTAAGTACTATAAATGAGTCTGAAGAATTCATGGTAGTTTTAATTCAAATCTTAAATGCTAAAACAATAAAGAACATAAGTAAAAATACTGTAAACCCCCAAAAGAAAATTGTATAAGAATATTCTGTGTTAAAGAGTTCACTGCCATAAATAATGATACATGAAGTGTGATCAAAATTACAATGTTTGTATAAAAATTGTTACAATATGACGATCTCCAGATCCCTCCATTTTCTGGAGATCATCATGTTGAGGAAAATAAACTAGACTCTGAAAGACAAACATCACCTGTTTTTCCTAAATAATTTTCCTAACATCTAAAAGAGATGATACAAAAGTAGAAGGAGATTATTATTAGAGAAGAAAAAGGGAAGAAATGGAAGCGAGAGACAATGTAAGGGCAGATAACATTGGACATGGGTATGATTAAAATGTATCATACACATGGAAATTCCACCCAAACAATGTAAAAACGAGAAGGGGTAAAGTGCTCCATGCATGTACAACTCTGCCAAAAGGAAACCTATTCATACATATAATCACCATGCATTAACAAAAAGGTAGAAAACTCTCTTACACTAAAAGACACACTGCCATTAATTTCCCTCAGATCCCCCCACCACACACACACACACACACACACACACACACACACATACAAGTCCTTGCTTGGAACACACTTATCCCATTGTTCTTGCCACTTTCTGAAGCAGCTCTGAAAATCCTTGTTCAAGAATGTCTTAGTTGCACTATCATGGCTGCCTTGATGTCCTGACTAGACTCAAAACTTTTACTTGTCATGACTATTTTGAGTTTGGGAAAGAGCCAGAAAGCTCAGGGTTCCAAATCTGGTGAATAAGTTAGATAAGGACACATAATTATATTTTTATAAGCCTGCTTTTCTGTTGGATGGCACTAGGTTTCAGCACTCCCTGCATTTTTTATCACACTTCTTAAGGGCATTAACAAAAGAGGATTTCTAGAACTGCTTCAGAAAGTGTTAAGATAATCCTAGCACCCTTAAGAGGCTGAGGCAGGAAAACTGCAAATTCAAATCCAGACTGGGATATTTAGCAACTTAGCAAGAAACTGTTCAAAATTAAAATAAAAACATAAAAAGAGTTGGGGATGTGGCTCAGTGCCAAGGCCGTGGGTTCCATCCCTGGCAACACACACACACACACACACACACACACACTCATGGCAAGAACAGTGGGATGTGTGTTCCAGGTGAGGGGAAGATTTTCAGGGGGTTAATGGTAATATTTTTACTATATTTTTAAAATTTAAACATTGATTTTGCATTTTGATTACCTCTTACATGTGCGGGGTGGGAAGTTATATATATGGGGATACAGCAGGTTGATGTGCATGCCTACATCTTGACTGGATTATCTGGTTTTATGAAATAAGGGACATCTGAAGATACAAACAAGTGAATTCTTCTAGCCAAGACAGAATCTCTTCAAACAAAGAATGTTAAACACTTTTCTGCTTATAAAGGACATAACTTTATTTTTTCTTTCTTTGCTTTTTTAGCATCCATATATCCATTTATTTTAAACTTCAAAATATCTCCATTGTTAAAAGTAACATCTCCAAAACAGGGGTGGTGGTGCATGCCTGTAATTCTTGTACTGTGGGACACAGAGGCAGGACAATTGCAAATTGAAGACCAGTCTGGGAAATTTAGCAAAACTCTGTCTTGAAATGAAAAAAGTAAAAATAAAAAAGAGCCAGACTATAGCTCATTGTGAAGGCGGTGGGCTCTATCTTCAGTACCGCAAAATAATAATAATAATAATAATAATAATAATAATAAACGGTAATAACTATAATACAGATGTAACGATGAAGATCAGGAGACCATCCCTTTTATGGTATAATAGGTGCAGATGCATATTAATATAAGTTTTTAAATGCACACAATTTTAAAGTATGTTAAAAAGTAAACAAATGTTTTAGAACATTTTAATGAAACATTATATATTTGTATGAATAAAAATGATAAATATTGCAAATTACAATAACAAGACCTTGTTCTAATCCATTCATCAAAGATTTAATATCAAATAAAGAAATGTCTTGGTTGACAAACTCTTCCATTCGCAAACAGAAGTGTCCAGCAAACTTTTGCTTCCCTTTACGGACTCCGAGTCAGGTGTCAAACAGGACCTCAGAGGTTTTCCCAAGAATCGTGAAACAAATTAAGTTCATGAACCAAGGTACCACTGTATATGTGATAACAATGTACATTTTATTACATATAAAAGATATCCACAGTAAATCACAATATGTCATTAAATGAATGTTTCTACTGACTAAGTAAAAAACAAAAAGCCCTAAATTTAAGCAATGATATATTTTGATAAGAAACATGCAAAGTTCTTAGAGTCAAATGTAAAACTACAATACATTATGGTCTTTTATATGTGTTAAGAAAAAGCTGAGACAATGTGCTCTTTATGACTCTCCTTCCACCCTTTAGTTAGGTCCTCAAGGGAGGAAAATACTTTGCCCATGCTGTACTTCTTGTGTATGGGTATGAATAAATACATACAATATTTTAGTTCTGGGTCATTTAGCCAAGGGCATTTTCTCCGGAGAATTTCCTTTATTAATCTCGAATGAGGAAGGATGGAAATGACAGATTAAAGTGTTTTCATTTGTAAACCTATTCTCAAATATAGAAAATCTATGTAAGCTCTAATACACTTAACACTAAATGCAAGGCCTACAGGCATACACATAAAAATCAATAACAACTATTTCTTTTATCTCCTTATGTTTTTATAAGCTAAACAATTTTGATAATTTTTATTCTTGCTACTTTTTGGGTTTAATGGGCTTTTTAGCATAGTACAAATATTTTAACATGAGAAAGGTCTGGCAGAAAGAGAAAACAGGTCAGAAATCGAGTCCATTTTTGTTTAGTGGAAAACTTTGTTTCTGTAAAATTCATTACAGCAAATTTAAATCACCATAGTGGATTATCACTGTGGAATTTTCTAGGTTGATTATTGTTCTGTTATTCGTAAAACAATCTGAATTCTAAATTGCACTTCAAAACCTATGAAAAGAAAATGATGTTG